TGATGGGAGGAGGCCGAGTCCCCGGAGGCCCGTCCTTCAAGACCTCTGTCCTTCCTGATTTCTCCAGCAGGAGGAGGCCTCAGGAGGGCCCTTGGCCGCCAAAGCTGAGAGCACCCGAAGCACAGGTGGGGGGCTCATGGAGGAGATGAATGCCATGCTGGCCCGGAGGTGAGCCCAAGCCCCGGCCTCTGAGTCCCCTCAAGACTGCAGTTTGGGGCGAGGCGGGTGGCTCTGATCCCTGTTTTGTTTCTTTCGGTGAAAGTTCCCCCTTGACCTCTATCCAGGTTTGGGGTTTAATACTGGAGACTTAGTCTCCTGAGGTGGCTGCTGACCTGGTAGAATGTTCTAAAGCCTAGATTCGAGAACCTCAGGAAACCCCCTCAGCATCTAGGAGAGAGTCCCTGCCTTTAGAATTTTATGATTTCCTAAATGTGAGGACCAGAGAGCTCACCACCCTAATTCTAGAAAAGCAATATTTTTTAAACATTTTTTTTTAGTTGTAGATGGACACAATATCTTTGTTTTTATTTATTTGTTTTTTTTTTTTTTTTAATGTGGTGCTGAGGATTGAACCCAGTGCCTCACGCATGCGAGGCAAGCACTCAACCACTGAGCGACAGCCCCAGCCCTAGAAGAACAATACTTTTAACTTCTAAAACTAGAGTTTCCTTAGCCTTCATGAATCCAGAATGCTAAACCCAGGAGCCCACATTTCTAGACCAACAGGAAGCAGGGTTGTTGGGTGGCTGAGGTAGGACTGAAGCATCTGTCCTGCTTTTCCCTTCTGCAGAAGGAAAGCCACACAGGTTGGGGAGAAACCCCCCAAGGAAGAATCTGCCAGTGTGAGTGAGGGTCTCTTCTTGCCCTGTACACCTTAGGATGCCCCAAGAGGGTAGGGGCATTGGGGAGGGGGTGTCTTAGGGCTGGGCTGGCCTTGGACCTGGAAGAGGAAATGAGCAGAGGTGTGACGGGGGCTGCCTCATGATATTTTTATTTCCCACCAGCAGGAGGAGCCAGAGGCCAGAGTCCCAGCCCAGAGTGGTGAGTGAAATTCTTGTCTAGCCACAGAAACTACAAGTCCCAGGATGCCCTGTTCTCACAAAGCACCCTCTTGGAAAGTCTGAGAATAAGTCTGGGGATTGTAGTCTCCTAAAATGCTTCTTTGGGCTGTTGAGGCTGAGGGGAAAAGATTGGGGGCAGTCCTTGTCCCTGATCTGATTTGTTCCCTGATCCCCAGAACCTGTGCGGAGACCCTGGGAGAAGAACAGCACAACCTTGCCAAGGTGGGCCATCAGCATTGGGGCTGCACCCCCTAAAGAGTTGAACTTGCCCAATTTATAGGGAGGAACACAATGTAACCCCTGGAATGGGAGGCAAGGGAGACAGATCCTCCTTTGAGCCTCTTATCTGTCCCAAACCACACCAACTTTTCCAGGATGAAGTCCTCATCTTCCATCACTGCTTCTGAGGCCCAGCCTTCTACGCACAGCTCTGGGGAAGAGTCAGACCTGGAGAAGGTGAAGCAGGTAACTTGGGATGGAGGCTGGGGTGGAGGCTGGAAGCTAGACAGGGGCCAGAGGAAGGGAGATCTATGTCCAGAGCCTGCTACTGATGTGCATGTTCTAGAGAAGACCTTGGAAACTCCAGGCTGAGAAGTGGAGGGACAGACCTTAGGAAATCTATCAGCACACATTCCTGCTGAGTCCTCTGAGCCCAGAGACTCCAGCCATCTATCAATCCAAATTGGCAGGACAGAGAAATGCATTTGCCAGGCCTGGTACTGGATGTTCTCCAGTACTTTTCTTTTGGCTCCAAGGATCTAGAATTCTCTTATAGAATACCCCAGTCATTCCATAACCTTGGCAGCCATGTCAGGAAGTGGGGTCAGCCAGTTGAAAAGTAGGTAGGGGTCCTGGAGTGTAGCTCAGTAGTAGAGTACTAACCTAGCACACAGGGCCCTGAGTCCCATCCTCAGCAGTGCAAATAAATAAACAAATAAGAAAAGGGGAAATTGGCTGAGTGCAAGCCTATGATCTTAGCTGCTCAGGATGCTGAGGCAGGAGAATCACAAGTTCAAGGCTAGCCTGGGTAATTTAATGAGACCCTGTCTCAAAAAGGGCTGGGGTCAGGCCTGGTGGTGCATGCCTGTAATCCCAGCAACTCTGGAGGCTGGGGCAGGAGGATTGCAAGTTCAAAGCCAGCCCCAGCAACTTAATGAGGCCCTAAGCAACCCAGTGAGACCCTGTCTCTAAATAAAATAGTAAAAAGGGCTGTGGATGTGGCTCAGTGTTTAAACACCCCTGGGTTCAATCCCTGGTACAAAAGAAAAAAATAAAATAAAAGTGGCAGGGACTGTCATTTGGTGGTAGTATGTTCCTAGGTTAGTGTCACAAAGAAAGGAGGGGATTTGTTTGTTCCAGGACCCTCTCTTGATTGGTTATGCCCCATTATTTTCAGGAGCTTCTGGAAGAGGTGAGGAAGGAATTACAGAAGGTCAAAGAGGAGATAATTGAAGGTGAGGTGGTTTGGTTTTGTTTGAACTTTAACTTACCCCTGCAGCAGTGGGGATGTGTCCCGGTGTGTCCCTCGGAGATAGCCAAGAGACTGGCTCTGACTCTGCCTCTTGTTTCCTTCCAGCCTTTGTCCAGGAGCTGAGGAAACGGGGTTCCCCCTGACCACAGGGACCCAAATGACCTGTTTCTCTTTCTGCACACCCGGCCTGTCACCCTGCTTTCCCTGCCTCTACTTGACATGGAATTGGCTGAAGATTACACAGGAATGCATCTTCCCCCTCCGGATCCCACTTGGAAAATTCCAAGGGGGTGTGGCTTCCCTGGCACCCTTGCCCACACCCTTACTGGCTGCTGATTGATGAGCTGGGGAGGCCCCCCCACCCTTTGCTCCCTTTGGTCCTTCCCCTCTGCCATCCCCTTGGGGCTGGTTCCTCTGTTGGGGATGTACCAATTAACCCCACAGTAAGGGGGAAGGAAGGAGGGAATTTCACATTCCCTTGTTCTAGATTCACTTTAATGCTTAATGCCTTCCAATCATTTTGTTGTTTTTTTTTTTTAAAGGAAAAAAATATATTATATATATATTTGGGTTTGGGGGGGAAAGGGAAAATTTTTTTTCCTTTTTGGTTTTGATAAAATGGGGTGTGGGAGTTTTTAAATGCTATAGCCCCAGGCTAGCCCATTTGGGGCAGCTATTTTAGGGTGGGTGTCTCACCAGACTGGGGTGCTCCCCCACCCCAGGGACCCCCCTTCCCTGGAGCTCCTTCCCTTTTCTATGAGGAATTAAGATGCTGAAACTTTTTGAAACCTCAGTTTTTTGGTTTTTTTATTTGGATAGGTTTTGGGGTCCAGACCATTTTTACCCCCTGGGGAATAAGGGAGGGAGAAGGGAGGAACCTCCCCCTTTACCTCCAGCTTCTTGAGAATGGGCCCTTGTGGAATAAATCTGCAGTTTTTATAAGTGTGAAGATCTCTGGAGTGACGGGAGGGGTTCTGGTGACCTTGGTGAATGAGGTGCTGCCCCTCCCCCTCTGTCCCGTCTCACCTCTACCTGTGCCTCTTAGGCTGCCCCAACTGCTTGTTCATCCTGGAGAAGGCCAGGAACCGGCCTCACTGACTGGCCCTGCACAGTCGGGGGCCTACTCTGAGCCTCTCTCTCACAGTGTGATGACTGCCCCCTTTCTCCTCCAGAACACCCCCATGTCCTAATTTTAATGACATGTGCCCATTGGGCAGATGGGAATCATGGTTCTCAAGCACATTAAGATGATTTCTTCACCCCAGAGCTCCTTTAATTATAAAAATTCTGCAGTCTTAAAGAATAGGATTCCAAAGTTAGAGAGTTAATATGTGCCCCTTCAGTGCTCAGTGAGTTGGCCGTGCGTGCGTGCGTGCGTGTGTGCGTGCGTGTGTGTGTAAAGCTCAATGGGATGCCATTCCAGTTGAATGGGGTGGGGTTCTCACGGAAGAGGTGCAAGAAGGTGCTCTCCCAGGAGCAGGTCTGTATGGAAGATGAAGGATGTGACACTGACCTTATATTTAGAGGATAAATGGGTCCTTAAAAAAGGCTACTGAATAGGACCACAGGGGAGGGCTGTGAGAAAGGACAGGAATAGGTCAACGACTTGGGACTGGTAAAAGGGGCTGAGACTGAGAAAAGTGGACTTGCCCTGGTGGGCACCCATTTCCCTTCCCCTAAGGGCTACATCCTGCTAGAACAGACCAGGAGGCGGGTCTGGGAGGCACTGCCCAGGAAGACCCAGCTCATTGGTGCCAGTGGGTTATGCCATAGACTAAAGGAAGAAGGGTTTCTGTTGGAACGACCCACTCGGGAAGATGATCCCAGCGAAGGCACCACGGAGTATTAAAGGCAAGAGCCCCAGGGTGACTCCATGGGGCCGAGGCTGGCAAGCCCATCTCCCTTATGCCCTCGGAGAGGGAGGTAGAGGCAGGCACCACGGATGGAAAGTCCTTTGGAACTTTCTGCATTTTCTTAACAATGGTCTGAACCAATGAAGAAGAGGCAGGGGGTGTTCCGGTGCCATGGATGGGGGTCCCAGGGGAAGGGGCCACGCCTCAGGTAAGTGGGCGTGTGAATGACCGATTGAGAGGCTGCCTAGATCCAAGTGCAGAATCCACTTTTGTTTTGTCCCTCTGACCCACCTAGTGGACAGGCGGGTCCCACTCACGACTGCGCCTTTCCTTTCCAAAGCGCTCTTTAGGTGTGTGCCTGCGAGGTCAGGGGGACGGGGCGGGTCCCTGTTGGAAAGTTCCACCAGTGGGAGGGGGGACACTAGGCGGAAGGTACCACTGGACAGGTTAGTAGGGAGGTGCCCGATTGAATCACATCCTAGGATCCCTCGGATCCCAAAGAGATCAGGTGGTGTCAGATGGGCAGATAGAGGGTGGGCCAGGGCAGACGGCAGGCCAGGTCGGAGACCTCGCAGCTCAGACAGCAGTCATGTCCAGCACAGGCCCTGCGTCCCCCTAGTACTCCAGGAGATCGGGCAGTGGGTCCGGGTTCCGGACCTGGTCAGCGTGGAGCTGGGCGCGCACCTCCCGCAGTTCTTGCCGCAACTCCTCCAGGGCGCCCTTCGCCGGCGTCGCCTGCACCTGCCCCTGCAGCGTTTCCAGCGCCAGCGCCAGGTGGCCCATCTCGTCCCGCAACGCGTTCCACGCGGCGCGCCGCTCGGCTTCCTTGTGGCGCCGCTGCGCCTGTTGGCGCAAGTACTCCATCAGCAGGCAGCCGCAGGCCGTGACGAAGATGATGGCCTCGCCCAGCAGCTCCGCGCCCAGCTCGGCCGCTGCCCCCTCGTTCAGCGGCTTCACGGCTTCGGCGTTGAAGCCCATGATGCGCATCTTAGTCCGCATCTCCACCCAGTGGTACACTGCGAGGGAGAGAGGGGGGGTCTCAGAGGGGCGCCCCCTGCCAGCCCCTCCCCTCCAAGTCCCGTCTGCCTTAGGGACCAGAATCGCTGGGCTGGCTTTGGGGAGCTGGTGCCTTAAAGAAGATAAGAGCCAGCCCCAAGTCCTGCCAGGAATGCTATTATCTTTATCGGTCTGGGGTGACCCGAGGGCATCTTTTAAAAGATTCTGGCAGCAGCTAGGAAGGAAAAAGGCTGTCCTAGTGCTGGTGGAGATCCTCAACCCGGGGCCACTCCGGGTGGGGTGAGGAGGTCACAGGAGGTCCCAGAGTACAAAGTCCAGCCACGGAGAGCCCCTGAGTCTGCACCTCCCACAACCCTGGGTGAGCCAGCCGGTTCCAGCCCTCCTCCCTGAAGCGCGTTCCAGGTGGGCTTGGGGCGCTCCCTTTGGATGGAGTTTCCTTGGGGCTGCTCTAGGGAAAACTGCTTCCCCACCCGGTCGCTTATTCCCGTGACAGGGGTCCTCAGACCAGAGCTGAGCCGACACCGAGCTCCAGTGACGATTAATAACCACCCCTGGGCGCCTGGACTGCGGGGAAGAGCAAGCCGCCTCTACTTCCTCAAAGATGGATTTCTAACAACATCATCTCACCCCTCCCCACCGCCCCCCACAGCAGCCAGGCCGACTTTTCAAATAATTAACATTTCTTCGATAAAGTTACAATAATAACATATGCACAAGGGTGGAGTTAGACCACACAGAATTCCACCTTCCCGGGTCTCCATTAGTCCTAGTCCTCAAAGGTTAACTAATTTTGATCTTTTCTATATTTGTTTCTATTACTTTAACCATGTAAGGCCAAATAAAAAGATAATGCTTCTATTTCTTTGTTTAGTACATTGATTCGTGTGTGTATAGGCCTTGCTGGGGACAGACAGCAGGACCTGCCTACTAGACAAGCCTTCTACCTCTGAGCCACATCCCCAGCCCTGTCTGCTCTATCATCATTTTTGCATGGTCAGGGTGCCTTCCCGGGTTATAATAAATTTTCAGTGCTTTGTCCATACACTGAGTCTGAAGGTGAAACTATAGAGCTGGTATATTAAGTATGTAAATGCTAATCAATGTGGATCTATATGAAGACATAATCCTACTTCATTAAACCAATGCCATGTAAGTTGTAACATTAAATGTAGGGTCTAAACACTTTGTCAGGCCACATTTTTCTTTTCTTATATTTCAACCTTGATTTTACTGCATAAAGGTTTTATTTTTTAATGTTGATTTATTTTTGGTACCAGAGATTGAACCCAGACAGGGATGCTTAACCACTAAGCCACATCCCCAGTCCTTTTGGTATTTAGAGACAAGATCTTGCCCAATTGCTTAGGGCCTCCCTAAATTTCTGAGGCTGGCTTTGAACTTGTGATCCTCCTGTCTCAGCCTCCTGAGCTGCAGGGATTATAGGTGTGCATCATTGCATCAGGCACTGAACATTTAAATTTTTCCTAGAATGGTGTTTTTCAAACTGCCACAATGGGACTTCATGCCTAGCTCACCATGAGGCCAATAGCAATCAGCACTTTGCTCCTATTCGGTTTATTAAATAGTCTTGGATATACTGCCTGTTCCCTGGGCTGCTGCAGGACTATCCTCTTACAATGTCTTCACACTGCTCCTCTGTTGAATTCCATTTTAGCTTTGCTGGAATATATCCCTAAGTACTTTTTGTAGAAAGGTTGTCTGGTAGGTAGGTAAGTGATTTGCATTCTTACATATTATAAGTGGGTTTTTTTCCCACTTTCATGACAGAATAGGTAACAGTTTATAGGCCCAGAATGACTGGTTCAGAATCATATCCTTGGCAATATGGAGTCCTGGTTTTCTTACCTGTAATGACAGAGGCGTTTCTTGTCATCTCTGTTTCACTGGCTTTATACTTAATTGGGAGTATGAGAAAGTTTCTCTTGTTTCCTTTAGTTTGCACTCTTCTGTTTGAACCATGTTTCTCTTTTGAGTCCTGGGAAATTTTATTTTCTGTATAGTCAAGGATTAACCTCGATGAAATAGAGGTCTGGCCTCTGCCCTGACTACTGGGAGGTGATCTTTAAGTCCTTGGAATGTCCGGTCTGAGCAGACTGTGTTGTTTGTCGGGTGCCTTCAGCCACACCACAGTTTATGTTAACTAGGAGATTTATGACGTGGCATTTGGGCCGTGTGGGATAGGCTCAACCTCGGGAGGGACTAGAAACTAAGGTCAGCCCCGGGTGGTCAGCTACATCTGATCCTCCTAAAACCCTGCGCATCAGGGCCCGGGTGAGCTCCCCTGGTCGGCTCATCTTGACATACTTGTCACTCATCCTTGCTGGGAGAAGTCAGTACTGTCCAGATTCCACCGGGAATGGACACTTGGGAGCTGGTTCTTGGAACTCTCTGGACTCTCTCCGCCCACGCGGGGCTTCTGTTGATGGGTTTTCACCTGGATCCTGCCCCCATAAGAACCTCAGTGTCGAGTATGACAGATTGCAGGGGGTTTGCGAGTCCTTTCAGGAAATTATGGAGCCTGAAGGTGGTCTTGGAGACCCGAGAGTTCTGCGTGTCTCACCCGTGACCTGCTCTCCATCCTCCTTCTGCCCTGCGGCAGCACTCGGGTGCCAGGGCCTGGCTGAATCGCACCTTTCCTTCCTGTGTTCCCACCGCTCTCTCCTCTTCCTCAGGTCGGGAGCTCCCACGGGCTTCGCCTCTCAGAGCTTCATCTCCGCGCCCTCCCCCAGCCTTGGTAGGCTTTTTTCTTTAAGTATTTTTTTATTGTAAAATATCCAAACAGGGACTGGAGATGCAGCTCAGCACTTGCCCAGCATGTCAAGGCCCTGGGTTCAATCTCCAGCACTGAAAAAAAAAAAAAAAAAAAAAAAAAGAAAGAAAGAGAGAGAGAGAGAGAGAGAAATCCAAACATACTAAACAGCATCTATTGAGCTTTATCAAATCCACACCTTGATATGTGGATTATTTACAATTTCTGCAGAGGGAACAGGTGCAGCCTCACCTGGCGAGAGGCAGGATTGACACTGGTGCTCCCAGGAGGGGTCCCTGGGGCTTCTTTCCTTGCTTTGCCCGCTGTCTGTCCCTTCCCTGATCAAGTCTGCTCCTCTGCAACCCAGGTCCTGCCCCAGCTCCTCCCAGGCCTCCTGTCCCCCTCTTGCCTCCTCCACTCAGCCCCAGAAGACAGACAGAGGTGGTTTTTTTTTTTTTTTTTTTTTTTTTTGAGGGGAGGGAGGCTCAACCACTGAGCCCTATTTTGTATTTTACTTAGAGACACGGTCTCACTGAGTTGCTTAGCACCTCGTTTTGGCTGAGGCTGCCTTTGAACTCACAATCCTCCTGCCTCAGCCTCCCAAGCCACTGGGATTACAGGTGTGTACCAGCAGCCAGAGGTCTTTCTAAAGCCTAAACCAACCCTGACTTCCCTGCTCAGAACATCTTTGGCTCACAGGGGCCCTGAGAGGATGACCACATTTTTAATTTTATTTATTTATTTAGGTACCAGAGATTGAATCCAGGGGTGCATAACCACACCCCCACATCCCCAGGTCTTCTTATTTTTTATTTAAAGACAGTGTCTCACAAAGTTGCTTAGGGACTCACTAAATTGCTGAGGCTGGCTTTCAACTTGCAATCCTCCTGCCTCAGCTTCCAGAGTCACTGGGATTATAGGAGTGCACCACTGTGCCCGGCACTAGTTAATTTTTAAATGACCAGCAGACACCCGTGTCCCACGTATGTGGCTTCCTTTTACCCTACACCCATGGAGGCAGCCTTTGAACCTCAGCAGGATCCTAATCCAGGATTCAGGCCGGAGAGGCCAGTTCGCTGGGAAGCCCAGCTCTTCACCAGGCCACGCTTCTGTTAGTGGGGCACAAAACAGGTGAGGGGTGTGCATTCCGTCTCCTGTAGGAGGGGCCCTCCAGAGGGGCAGGGTGAGGAGAGGAGCCTGGAACTGGTTTGACAAGGATCAACAAGCACCCGGGTCCTCAGCAGGTGCCCTGCTTCTTCCTGAAGGAGGAGCAGAGCCACCATCCTGCAGCAAGCAGGGCGTCTCCTCTGACCTTGGCCTGGACATAAGTCAGACTCCATCGAATGTGAGAATCAGCCTGCCAACGTGCATGCACACACACGTTCACACCTGTGGCATTGTAATTGGGATTATCTTGACTCCATTAATCAGTTTAAGGATGTCAGGACACCTTTACAACATTGAATATTGATTAAATACTGAATACTGAAGATTTTGACATACAAATTATATTCAAGTGAAAACGTTTGAAATCTGAACTTTTCTTATCTGACTCAAGTAAAGTCTCTTGAAAGCGTGTGGAATTCAGGAAGGAGACAGCATTGCAACAACAGAACCATCCCCACTTTCCCACGGGAGCCACAAATCTCTCCCCTTTGTGTTAAGTTGGTATAAATCTTGTCCTGTGGCCATTCAGCCAGTGACTCAGGGTAGTGCTCTGGCCTGTGTGGGATACATTTTGTCTTTTCCCTGTTGATCTGCTTTTGGCAGTTAATTTGCAGACCTCTCCCCCCCATCATTCAGAGCTAAATTGATGGAGTAGCACCCCCAACACGATCCATGCACATGGCATCCCTCTTGATTTAGGTCGTATGAATTTTATCTTGATGTTTTATAGATAACCGAGTAGAAATAGTGAATATAGTTTAGAAATAGTGAATAGTTCAGTTTATTCGTATGGGTTAGATATTTTGATATATTTTATGCTAGTTTGATGGTGTCATTGTAAAATTTCACCCCTCCCTTGTTTTCCAGTTCTGCTCTACCACGGAGTTAGATCCCCACCCTTTCTCTAATATTTTTTTACTTGGAGGCACCAAATCGCCCAGGCTGGCCTGGAACTTGCAATCTCCTGAATCTCCTGCGTCAGCCTTCTGAACAGCTAGAATTACAGGCATCCGATTAAAATTTCATTTTTTATTTGAGCTGACAATGGGAATAAACCGATTTCTGAACACCGACACTGTGACTTTGATAGATCAGTTTGTCTGCAGATTCTGGTTTTCGGGATGGGGGGCTGGGGACTTGCTGCTTGGCCCAGGGTGGGCTCTAACTCATGGCCCTCCTGCCTCAGGCTGTGGAGTAATTGAGGTTGGACGTGGTGTGTGCCCAGCCTCGCCCACGCCAGGCAAGTGCTCTTCCAGTGAGCTACATCCCCAGGTTCCCTTCATTGGAAACATGGTTTCTAAATATTTCCTTCCACTCTGTGATTTGTCCTCTCATGTTCTTGATGGTATCAAATTCTACTCTACCAACTTTTCTGAGGTATAATTCACGTGCAACAAACTGAACTTTTTTGCTTTTTGGGTTTTTTTTTTGGGGGGGGAGCAGGGTACCAGGGATTGAACTCAGGGGCACTCAACCACTGAGCCCCATCCCCAGGCCTATTTTGTACTTTATTTACAGACGGGTCTCACTGAGTTGCTTAGCGCCTTGTCCCAGCTGAAGCTGGCTTTGAACTTCGGATCCTCCTGTCTCAGCCTCCTGAGTTGCAGGGATTACAGGTGTGCCCGGCCTTGAACTTTTTTGTTTTTTTGTGGTCCTGGGAATGGATCCCAGGGCTTCATGCATGAGAGGCAAGCTCTACCCCTGAGCCACACCCCCGCCCTAGACTGAACTTTTTACAGGATGATTTGCCATGTTCTATCATGGGTATGTGCCATGAAGCCACAGCCATAGTCAAGACCCTGAACATGAGGCACTGAGACGAGTCACTATAGGGCTGAGCCTCAAAATCTTGCTAAATGGAAGAAGCCAGACCCAATGATGTCGCATTCTGTGATTCCACTTAAATGAAATATCCAAAGTAGACACATCCATAGAGAAAAACCAGATTGGCGGTTGCCAGGGCTGGAGGAGAGGGATGACAGCTCAATAATACTGAGTGTCCTTCTGGGTGGTGGCCAGCTGTGGGCAGGCACTAAGTGCTGCTGAACTATCCGCTTGAAAAGAGTCAATTTCCCGGGTGCAGCAGTGCAGCCTGTGATACCAGTGACTTGGGAGGCTGAGGCAGGAGGATAGCAAGTTCAAGGTCAGCCTGGTGACTCAGAGAGACCCTGCGTCTAAATAAATAAAATAAGTAAACAAAGAGAGCACTTGCCTGGCATGTGTGGGACCCTGGGTTCAATCCCTAGCACCACAAAAGAAAAAGTCGATTTTCTTTTTTATTTTTTTAAGAGTTTTTTTTTTTTTTTTTTTTAAGAGAGAGAGAGGATTTTAATATTTGTTTTTTAGTTTTCGGCGGACACAACATCTTTGTTGGTATGTGGTGCTGAGGATCGAACCCGGGCCGCACGCATGCCAGGCGAGCGCGCTACCGCTTGAGCCACATCCCCAGCCCAAAAGTTGATTTTCTATTGTATAAATTTCACAAATAGCAAAATAAGGGTGGCAAGGCCACTCGAGACTGCGGAACGGCCTCACAGTGGGTTGTGGGGTCAGGGATCCAGGACCAGGAGTCAGGACAGGGCCAGTCCTTTCTCGGTCCCAGGAGTGTCCCCCTGGCTGGGTCCCTTCAGCCACAGCAGCTGCCTGCGCTGCATCCACTCCAGGAAGCTGAGTGTGAACACCCAGTGGCCTCCGGGGCGGGCCACCGCTGTGAGGTCCATCGGGATGTGACATTGCTTCAGAGGCTGAGGACAGGCCGCAGGGGAGGGATGCAGGAGTGGGGGAGTGGGGGGAATGGCTACCTGGCCATGTGCCCAGAGGCTGCGGGGCAGCTGTGAAGCCCCTCGGGGGTTGAGGGCTCGTGGAGCGGGAGGGAGATGACGCTGCGCCCACCTGGGGCAGGTGTGTCCCCGAGTCCCACAAAGCAGGCGACTCTGATCCTCTGCTGGCACCCAAGG